ACCTCTCGAAATTCGTTGTTTAATTTTTAAAATTATTTTATCAGTTATATGCAACGAAAACTTTTTATTCATAAATATCAAAGATCATTTTTAAAGTTGCTTGTTTAAAAATGTCCTATATGAAGGCAAACTTGGTGAAGAAGGTGAAGGATCTAACGTTAATTCTGAATTTGAAAGATATTTGCTCATAATAGAAAGGAGTAATGCTTATAGTATGCCCGAAACAAGGGGATCAGTGCGGGGCCGGCGGCCGGCGGCGTGCTTGTGAACCGATAGAGCGGATGGTCCCATTCCATCGAACTAACGGTATCGCCGGTGCCGCGTGCAAATACTTCTGCCATACAATTTTAGCCACACGAATGCTTTACGGCACCACATGGTTTATAGATGCTATATAAAGACAGCAAACACGAGCTAATATTGAAACATTTCAAATGGTTCTATTAAGAAAATCTAGTTCTATTAAATGTATTAAAAAATGCCAGCAACCGTTTGTGCAACTATGCACTTCATGGAAGAGATGGGATTATATTTTATCTGTGCTGTCAAAAAAGCTGACGAAGCCATATGTGGCGTGTGTGAAGCGTTCGGGCGCGGCATTCCCAGCAGAGCGACGCCAGCGACCGGCGGCCGCGAGCGACACAAGACCGTTTATGGCGAATGTTCGCGCAGGAATGTGCCCCGACAGTTCGCCACATGCGATGAGAAGCAGCGAGCAGTCGTCTATGGTGATGGCTACACTATAACTGCGGCCACCACCATAGACAGCGACCAGAGCAAGTTGGAAATTCAAATTATTACCATCTTGTCTCATGGCTGATGGAGTTGCCTTGCAATAAATATGCATGTGAAAGAAAGAAAGAACGAATTTATTCTCATTACATCTTAAGTTTATGTTTTTGCAATAAGGGAAACGTGCGGTTTACTCCTGTCCTATAAATTCCTTTTAGACGGAAGGATTGGAAATAGGATATTATTGCTTGGCACTTTGGATTACTTTTTTCAACTAAGTATATCGTGTGTTTATTAATTTAACCGAAGATGACACAATTAAGGGTATGTGATACTACACTGTGACGAGAACAGATGCCTAAGAAATAAATGAGCAATAAATTTGAAAGCGATCAGACTCTCGTAACTTACGCCAAATCCAAGAATGAATCGACTCATCCTTACCAACTGCCAACATAAATGACACTCATACATATTTGCTGCAAGTTAAACGAATCACTCGTTGGTTTTATTAGAGAATGTGTTAATAACGCACTCGACTTACTCTTGTCAAAGCAAACACTTGAATATACTGGAATAGTGTATTACTAATTTATAAACACAAAGAAATAGGGTTCATTCAGACATATCCCAAGATTTGATATTGTTAATGCATATTGTTTTACTTCTCAAATGAAACATGTTGCACATGATAAAACGGGTATATGGATAAACTAGTTGTAATACTTAGGAAAAGGCGAACTTAGATAAACAAAAAAAGTTTAAGAGGAATTTTACTGTTATAAAAGTGCTCTTTAAAGTCACCATAGTGGTGCAAATGCGTCGTAATCTATGGCACCCTAATATTAGAGTGGTGCAAACTGGGTGCAAAATAACGATTGGCCAGATAAGGACCGTTGCGAACTATTATCAATGACAAGTCGGCAGTCCGGTGTCCCGAGCCATGTACGGGTCAATGCACAAAGGCGCCGACGTCCATCTAGAGCGGCAGAGGGCGCTCGCCACGCCACATAACGGTCTCCCCTTCAAATATTGTTAGACGATAGGTATAGCATAGACAAAGCAATACCTACTATGAATGATAAAGTGCTTTTTATAGTATGTATAGCACTACGTTAGAAATATTATTCTGGGAAACTCTAAACAATTAAATAGAGCTCGAAGTATTTGAAACCTACTCCCCAAAAGAAAGAGGTTATCAATTCGTCTGTATATTTGTGGACCGATTTTGATAATTCTTTTTTTAAGTTGTCTAAATTTTTAACAAATGTAGGTCACCAAAAAGATAAAGCTTCATTATTTCTTCTATTTAATTTCAAATTCTAAATTTCATAATACACCTACATCTTTATTTTTAATTTCTGGTTCATAGTTATTATGCACCGTTCAATATAATAAGGTTCCTGCAGTTTGTGGTGAAAACAACAGTTCAGAATCGATCACAGAAATTGCACAGGAACAACGCTAAGCTGTAAACATTGATGTTTACGAATTTGCTAAATAGCTTATAGCGCTGTTCGAGCCGCATTGAACGGTGCGTGATGAAATGCGGCCAATCGATTTTAAACAAATTCAGCGTTCGTAAACATTGTTTCAGTGTAGCACAAAATGTTGCAACAGTTATTTTGTGTTACTTTGCTAACTCAGATTTGTTACTTAGTAAACGTGTTTGGTGTGAGAGTTAATATAGTTAACATTTTTAAGCCAAAGAAACTTGTGCCACGAAGCTAAATAAGACATTTCCAATTGCACTAACATAGTTAACTAAGTATTCTTTCTTGTAGTATAGATAATACAAAAGTAATAAAACTGTAAAACAATTGTTTCTGTTTCCTAGTTTAGATACACTTGTATTTATTAATATTTATTTAGGTCGCTTTTAGTCACGATCAAAGAAAATTATTGGCGCTTCAACAGGACGCAGTCAGGTGATTGGTGCTTGGCTTGAGTCATGCTCTTCGTTTCAAAGGAGCTTTCACCGGTCTGTCCTGCCTGTTAGTGTTGGCGTCGTTTTGTTTATATTGCTCACGTAAATAGAACTAGACGATGCGAGAACTCGTGCAACGGCATATATAATATCAGATAAAATACGAGAATTATAAAAACTTCCGAACTAAGAACATGTTTTATTTGGGCAAGTTGTAAGGATAATGTTATTTATGTGTGACAGTAGCAGTATGCGTAAATGGTGACTATTTCTTGTAAATACCATTCCGAGTATGAACATCATGTTTAAGTTGTGGCGTATGTTATACCGAACTCGTATAGCATACTTGATGCCACCGATGAAGCGAATGTCTTTTTGCATTAAGTATATCACGCTAGATGTGACCACCAAAGACTAGTGTCACAGCGAAACCATGTCTCACTCTTGTTTTAAATGGCTGAAGGGGCGTATGTCATACCGAAGTAATACATCACGCTAAATGCATTTCTCTCCCAGAGTTTACATAACGGAATTAATTTCATAAAAATTTGTAAGTCACGGTCTTCTCATAACACATAAAGGTTTCGCCTGAGCCTTGTTTTAAATTCGAAGGTATTCAGGTATTTTTGATTTCAAATTAATAAAGTGGAAATTCGGTACAATATGAATTCGCAGCAAGACTATTGAAAAAGCTTTTTTATCGTATCAATAGTGATACAACTATGCATCTGACAAATGACATAAAATAGAAAAAAAAATACACAAGCTAGTTATTTGTTTAAATAACATAAACAGGTAATATTATTTAACACAAGTTTATCAAATAGATTAATTACAATCAGTAAGGCTGTTAGCGAATGTTTAGTGTTTCAAGTAATAAGAACCGCATAGGGCGATAGCGGGAACAATAGGGCGTTATCGAAGTGCCATTGCGAATGAGATGTCAACTAGTACATTGACCGCTGACTAACGCTATTATGATAACCCTGCTTTGTCTGCGTTTTATTTGTGTTCTCCCTGGTGGTAAACACTTGTGCGTCATCCCCAGTGGTCTTGAATCCACAAATATAACTTATCCTACATGTGGCCATAGTCGCGGTCGGTGGGAACGATTCTACATTTTATTTTTAATTCGTAAATGTATAAATTGTTACATTAACTACAAAGAGGGCAACGAGTTCTGCACGATCTTTGTAATGAGGACACTTAGGGTTTTCCTTTTTACGTTTTGCACCTGTTTTGTATGCGAGATGTTTCGTTTCTTTGGGCCGGGACGACGGTCGCTGTCAATACAGCAATTTCTGCAATTTATGCAGCGTCGTTGTTTCCTGTAGAAGCATGTGCTAAATGTAATGCACTGACATTAACACCGGTTCAATGACACCCGTGAACACTCACTATGCCACATTTTGTTATAACGTTCAGTGTTTTTACTTTTTATGCAAAAAGGCAAATACAAATTTGGCGTTTTAGCAACGTGTCGAATCGTTCAAACCGCCATTTATAATCTTTATAAGAACCGCTTTCAAAATCCGGCCAATACCTGAATTTACGTTACTGAACGTTATGGCTGTTTTCAAATAATTATCTCATATTTTATATGTGTTCGTGTTGAAAAATACTTCAAGCATGTTTAAGTTTAAAAATTTGTGCACTGATTCGTTTAAAGTTCTGTTTATTTGCACATAATACTATTTTGACAATCACTGGCTTTAAATTGTTATTGCTTTTAATATTTTTTAAATCGCAACGTTGGAAATTCATAATTTTGTCGAATAAACAAATAGTAATTCGTCGTGTCTCAGTATCAAAGTAGTCAAAGTAATCTGATTTTCTCGAAAACACCTCTTCTCCTGCTCCAGCAATATTTCTTTAAAGATCATAGTTATCAAGTTAATATATCTTACTTCTTACTAATATTATAAATGCGAAAGTTTAGATGGATGGATGTTTGTTAGCGTTTGTAGCCTAAACGGCTGAACGGATCTCCATGAAATTTGGCACAAGTTTAGAGCATAGTCTAGAAGAACACATAGGCTAATTTTTTATCCCGCGAATAGTTACGGTTCCCGTGGGATTCATTAATTTAGTTTTTTAATGTTCACTCGATCATTCTGCAACGGTTTATCATATCTTATTGAAATTTGGCACAGATATATCTGTTTTATAAAACAAAGTCTGGAGTACACATGAAATAAGCTTCATCCCACAGAAATGTCCGGTTCCCGAGGGATACGTAGCTTTTTGTAATTTACATAGTTCGTTTGTTTTCTAATACCACGCGGACGAAGTCGCGGGCAACAGCTCGTCTTACATAAATATGTAAAAATGAAAAACTTGATGTTGGTCGTCAGTACTATCGCGTTTAATATTTCCAGATATTTATGAATTTAGTTATGCACACAGTATATATTTTATGTTAATTATATCAATAGAACAGAGTATATAACAGAATGGACGATTTAAGTACATATTTTGATTGTATAATATAGTCTAACACACGAAATTGAGTTTATAAATATGAATACCTATTGAAATTTATAATTACTAAAGGTACTAACAATTGCACACTCACGAAGTTAAACTTTTAATTTTATTGCGAACAGTGCAAACGAAGTGGAATCAAAGCGACATACCATGCAAATATTACAAAGTTAGAAATTTTTTAAGAGACAAGATTATAGGAAATGAAACTGCAGTATGACGACTACGTAGGTCGCAAGCACAGCGAAAAAGCGCAGCGGCAACGCAGCATCCACGGGGAACAAGCCGGCCGCGTAAAGCCATTCCGCCCGCCCACCGTGCCGCGCCTGTTGCCGACTCCCCAGCTGCGACAGGTCTATTTACAAATAACTGTTACATTTAGAGTTATTTCAATTTAAAAATTTAAACGTTCGAGATGGTAATAATCTTTCAACATTACTTTTATTACTAGTAAGGTGACAAACGTGCAAGCGACCAGTTTACGCGGCGAAATGGCAAGTGACCTTTGAACATTTCTGATGTCATTCATAGTTTATTGTGGCTTTATTTCATCTAGGAAAGCATTCGATTCGGGTACTGGAGAGGTACACTGCGACTGTAGCAAAACGGCGCTTAAAAATGTATTCTGAGGTGCTTGTGATAAATGCAAGCTTGTATAAAGTTTGGATAGCACTGTACAAACCATGTTGTGTGAGGTTTCGGTACCTTTTAATACTTTCGCAGGGGCCTTGCTTTCATCCATAGTGTAAAAATGTATAACAGAGTAATAATAACTGACCCGTTGTTGTCTCGCTTGCAGTCAGCGCGATGCGGGCGACTTGAGCGTTTTTTAAATTTAAATGTACATTCTCGCTCTCCATACATAGTATTGCTATTAAGGTGAAATTTTTTATCCACATAATCTGACCTATATACATCGATTGAGTCCAAATTGGAATCTAAAATTCAAGAAAAAAAATTATACCGTGTAACCATAAAATATGTGAAGGAATTTAAATTTGCTTAATCAAAATTTTAAAAATAATGTGTTTATTAATAACTTAAAGAAAATATGATTGAACTTGCGTTATTTCTAAATATAAATTTAAAAAAAAAAACATTGTATTACTCACAGAGATACTAGCTTGGACATTGACAAAAACTTGAAAAAAAGACGACAACACCATAAATAAAATCTGTAAGGAGAAACGATCTTTAAATCAAAAGTTGTTAATAATGAAAATAATGTAACAAATAAGGCGATATTTACCGGAACTCTAAAGACTTTATTGCAGACATCGAGAGCCTCAATCAATTCATCGTAGCCTTTTATTATTTTATTCATACAATCTTTTGCTTCGATATCAAAACAATTTTCACGACAAAAATATTTCAATTCTAAGATCCACGTCTCTATAAGTTTACCCAACCAATGTATCATACGAATTGTGATTATATTGGTACAATCAATTGATATGTAAATTAAATGTGCAATTATTTTTTTAAAAATGGATTCATCTGATTCTGAAATCCGAGTTCCGAGATGCGCAACATTATACGCACTCAATGATATCAAAAATAACCAGTTAATCATAGAGATGCCTTTATAATGGAATTTAACAAACGTGAACCGTTTCTGTATTCTTTGTAGTAATATAATTAAATGAGCGTTGATATTACTTTGCCTTGTTGTTATAAAAGCATTAAGTATTAAGGCAACGGCTATTGTAACGCTATAGACATATACACTTGCAGTTAATAATCCGACGGTCTTGGTCAAAAAATTAGGAACAACGTAGAACCAAAGCATACCGATTACAATTGCAAGCATAAAGACAAATGTATTAAACTTGTAACCGTTTGAAGTAATGAAGTTATCACGTATGGAGTACTTAGGGGCTAGGGAGAAGCACTGCGCCACGTATAGAGGCAACAGAATAGCCTTCACTTCAGCCTCCAGAAAATTGTCCAAAACAAAATCTGTATTATACATTATCTTTGATATCGATGCCTTATTCGTTTTATCATCACGAAGTTTCCTCCTTAACATTTTTGCTGGTTGAAATCAACACAACTGTACTTTGCTGTATCAGAAATGACAATATTTTCTATGAAATACACATTTAATAAACTTATATTTCATTGCTTTTAAAGTAATTAGGTTGACAATGTTATGCGATATTTTAATGGATTACTTATTGTTAATGTTCCGATATTTTACATAGTTAAATAACGTTGCCATAAATATTTCAAGTAGCATCTTACGAAGGATTAACATATCGCTGTCTTCTGTGTAGTTCTTTGTTTTTGTCGTACACGGTCACGGTAGACGACATTTCCCGTTTACTCAAGAGAATATCACCTTCACCAACTCTTCACTCTTAGGTGAAGGTTTGAAATTTAGGCATCTGTGAACATATTCACAGATCAGACATCTTCATATGCATTTTATTGTAATTATTGTCATAAAATGAATTGAATGAATTGTAATGATACGACAAAGTAATTGTTTGGTTACAAAATATACGTACATGTACTATAGTTTAAATATAAGTATATAGCGGCGAGTAATATCGTATTATACATAAACCTACAATTACAAATGGATTTGTTAGATTACTGTCGATAGGAAACTGAACACGTACCATCTAATTCAAAATATATAAGTCGAGTCGTTAAAATCAATATTTGTTTTTTATTTAGCTTAGATGTCTATGGGAATCAGGTACTTGGCAATTTTAAAGAAATCAGGTGGCCGCTTGCTAATTTACAACTTAAAAAAAAAGATTCTTCCCTCGTTTATGAACACTTCATTTAAGGAATCTATAATCTAACGAATTATTATAAATGATCTAGTTACGGTCGACTGAAAAATAAACTCATGAGCCGAGCAGCCTTTTTTACAATATTCCTATTGATATACGGATCATCACCGTTACGTATAAGTAAAATGAAGAAGAAATTAGATGCATATGCACACTCGAGCGAAGTCGATGTGGGCTGAAGTCATTACTTACAAATACTTTACATAATTATGGAAGCATATGGAATACGTCAAAGAGGCCCTTCACCATAAACAGTCGGCTTTGATATCGCGAGTTCGCGAAACAAAGACCTCGGAACGCGACCGAAATAAAAATATTTACGTAGCCACTGGCGAGTGCTGACTCAGCCACGGCTTTGTTTAAGATGCCTCAAACAAATACATATCGTATTCAATCCTTGAAAGCAGAACTGGATAATATTTACAAGATGTTCAAATTAATGATGCAATTACACGAGATAATCAATCTGATAGGACACGGTGACGTTGGTTACTTATTGCAGATGATGCAGCGGTCACTTCGGTATGATAGCATGCAGCTTATTTTAAAACTGCTTATAAATAAAATCTTAAAAATAATATAACATCATAACAAAAATAGTCAAAGTATATTTGACTACATTAGGAAAAAAAAAGATTCATTTGCCTTATTTTTGGAGCACTACTTATAAATGTAATGTTTCGCAATAAATTTACATTACAACAGTTAACAATCGTGTATCATAGATTATGTAACATTGCAACAGTACTGCAACTGGCAATTTATAACGCATCCATTTGTCAATTTAACTGGACATTATAACATGCTTCCCTTACGACTGCGGCCAATTCTAGGACCAACATTATGCTATCATTACCTACAATAGATTTTAATTATTCAATTTTTACTGTCTGCCAGATACTGTAAGATAAATCAAAAGTATAAACAAAAAAAAAACAACCATAGAGTAAAGAGTAGGGTCTCTGGATGTACAGAAAATAACATTGTCTATTCTTATGAATACAAGCTTATCCCCTCCCTCTCTCTATTCCCCAAGCCCCCCTCGCCCGTCACAAAGCTCAATGAGTCTCGACTGACGCTCAATGATCTAATGCTAAATGAAATAAATTGTTCTTAATGACCATATCTCGTAAATAGATATTTCCTTGGCCGTTGGAAATACTTCAATTATACGTCAGAAGCCACGTTTACATTGAATCGAATATACGTAACAAAAACAATTCGAGTTTCTGAGAAATCAATCGTTGATGGTATCAATAAGTCAATTATATTGCCAGTAAGGCATTCTTATAGTTTATCTTATCTTGCGCTGTCCAACTCTTAGCGATTACCGATGTCCTAGTGGTTACATCGACTTAATGAATTTTTGTACTGCTTCTTTGAAAGTTTGTTGTAAAACATAATTTAAGAAATGTTGTTCAACTACAATAGTAGACTAAGATATTGTTACTCTTCTGCTATTCCGACCTGTATAGTTTTCCGTGGTCAAAACTAGTAAACTTACGGAATACTGAAATTAATCTTAAACACTTCGCTTCGTTAGCGCTGCTTACAGTCTAAAGAAAATTTTAACGAAATTTTGTGTTTAATTTTAAGACGCTGTTATATATTTAAATGTCGTTTAGTATTAACGCCAATCTTTAAAAAACCAAATAGTCGTATACCATAGTTTGCTTTTAAATATTACCTTAAGAATGTTTTTTCTATTTTGAACTTGTTTTCCCCGAGATCTTGATAAGCTGGAATACTAGCAAGGTAGAGCAAAACTGGGTTCCCATGACCTCAGTTATCCTGGCCACCTTATTAAGACCTTCACCTCGTTAAAATAACTCTAAGGTTTCAACTAATCATAGAGTTTACAATATCTTGGCAAGCTGTACTAGTCATGGCTATTTATATCGCAGCGACAAGTTTTAAATGTTGATGTAAACAGCGAGAACGTTAATGGCATCTCAACGCCTGACTGCGACTAGCTCTTAGAAAATAGCAGTGATTCAACACCAAAGAATTTAATTAACAAAACTCCATTAACACTAGCTAAGCAAAACCTATTTACATTGATTAACTGCACACTTTTAATATTCCATTTCATAAGATAGCATTAAGGTTTTCAGAACGTTTTCGAGACAGAATCTTATGTTCAGGATCTACATTAGTCGGAAATAGCAAAGAAAAATCATTTTTCTGTAATCGGCAATGATGGTTTGGAGTTGACGTGGATTTTATTACCTAAAGAAAATTTACTACACTGTTATGTTATGCTATGCATGGATTAATCTTATCTATTAGTTTATTAACCAATAATAACTGTTTTTGCATAAGAAATACAGTCTAAAATAGCGTATATATGTTTTATTAAAGTGTTTCACGTGGCATTGTGATATCGATATCGATTATCTGGTTATCGAATATCGCTAGTGACGTGCGTGATAATGTCGTGTGCAGATAAAGTAATTCAGCGACTTTGTGGCGCCGGCGGTCGCGTCTGGCAGCTGGTATAACACCATATGCCCCTTTTGCGATTAAAAATGACACTGGTAACAGCACTCGGCTCTGTTGTTCATTATAGTACTGGGAAGATTAGTCGTCGCATTACAAATGGCCGCACTAATCGGGAAATTTTAGAATTACATTTCTATACTTGTAAATTGTCTTTCTTATCAAAGATATAGAATGGAATGAAAATGTTATGTAAATGTGTCCACACAAGAACTTTAAAATTTCCACAACTTTTCAAAGATACAGAGTAGAGGAAAACTCCGTTCATAAAGTGCACTTCATGAGGGTGTTAAGTGCTGAAGTGACGATACTTGCTGATAGAAATCTAGTCTGATAAGAAGTAACTGCGCCATTTAATTAACCTAGAAATAGGTAACTATTAGTTTTTTTTAATAAAAAACCATAAAACAAGTGAAAAACCATAAATGAACAGTGACCACATGAAAACTAATTTTAATTTGACTATTTTAAAATCTCACAGAATAAACATAGTTAAATGTCGTATTTCTAATCATTTCCATTTTTCCCTTAACTTGTCGTTCATAAATGAAAGTGTATTAAAGGCATTTGAAGTAAAGTAACATTGTAACGTCGCCAAGAAATTAATAAAGAGATCCACACGTAGCTCTGATGTGGTACAATTCAAGTAACGTAAAGAAAGTATGTGTTTACAGCCAGGATTAAACAGGAAACGATTACCTATATTTAGGACGCCATGTGCCTCAGAATGAAGAACACCTAAGCAGGTGGTTTGTACAAAGTAAGTTTTTACAACGTTGCTTTTATAGTTTTTATAGAGGCAACATTTTATGGTCGTACTTTGTAAAGCAATTCTAAAACTATTTTATCGGCCGATAGTTTAGTCGGATGGG